TCAGGTTGTTTTGTACAACGGCACCCTGGTGTTTCGTGTGTTGCAATACCTAGTACAGATAAGTTGGTTTGTGTTCAGGAGTATAATTTGCGGTTTGTAGCCCAGAAAAAGTGAAAGTAAAAGTGTTTGCACGAAAAACAAAAAACTCCGCCAGGTTTGACTGATAAGACGTGTATATATGTGAAGCCAATTCTTGTTACACCCTGTGCTACGCGGAATGTTGACCTACTCCTTCACATCCACCTACGACATCCACATGGACGCAGCCTACCAGCTTCAGCAGCAAACGGTTAACAATGCTGATTAAGCGCAACATCTACGCACTCGCCTTCACAGCTCCAGGTGGGAAGTGTGGCTCTGTCAGTCATCATCGTCATATCGCTGAAACATTGCAAATAGCGGTGTAAAACTATATGCACTCAGTGAGTCGTACATTCGTCAACGTTGTGAAACATGGGGCAGGATACGCTCACGTTTTCGGGAACACCTGTCATAACTATTTCATAGGGATGGCGGCTGGCTACGGCACTGGCATATGCTTGTGATACAGTCGGAACCGTGCAATAGACTTTGCTTTAAGCTAAGATCTTATAATTATGAAGTTTTGGCGCTTACATCATAGACATATCGATACGTGCGTTTTTCAAAAAGTCATGACATTAGCCCTTTACAATATTAAAGTTATCTAATTTTGTTTCTTTTTTTTCCTGAGGATGTACACATACCTCTGAAATTTTACGGTTATTCCTTGAATATGATCTTTTATAATACCCAATTATAGGGTTCAAAGGTCACATTGGTTCAATTACAAGGCTATTTTGCTTAAAAGGGTTGGTGCTGACATATATGTATAATGTATATCTATCATGGTATACACTGTTATTTGCTGGGCGTTTAAGGCAGACATTGCGTACAGTGTACATCAACGGCGTGGCTGTTTGTCCCTCAACAGGGGGCGCTGATAGTAGTGTCAGTTAGGGTATCGACTCCGTTATTAATGTCCATACGCTGAGGTTGTGTAAATTTAAAACATGGAATAAGTTTCGTATGAATGATATTTGTTTTCATAAAATCATTTGAGCAATTTATAATAACATCAAACGTATATTATTAAAGGTGGTGCACGTGTTTTTTTAAAACCGTAGAATTTGAAATTCATAGGTCACGTATGACTGATATTGTTTTTTATAAACATATGAATTACATGCATATGGTTTTATTCCAGCTGCTATATGTTTTGTCAAATAATGTGTATTGTGTTTTTTTCTGTTCGCTGTTTAATGAATAATACATTAGCTAAATCCAGCTATTTTAATATGAAGTATTATATCTTATTTTCTGCTTTTTAGAGTGTTTTTGGACCAAAACCCTTTTTTGTAAGTATTAGCCTTGAAATAAATTGATAGTAATCTATGTTTTTATCAAAACAGAGAAATCATTATCGTCTCTCTTTAAGCGCATGGGCATAACAGAAATGTTTCTTCGAAAAAGATAAACGAGACATTTGGATGGTGTGCCGATTTTAAATATTTACAAAGCGTATTAAACCATATGCCAGTTTTGAAGTCGTCTCTTTGACTTTTAACCTCTACAGGAGGTAACTCCGTGCATAAGACACTAATTTATTATAAATCACGGCAATGTTTAGCCACTACATGTTTAGCTCAATGTCTCTGACTTTATCACAGTTGAAAGAATAACAAACTCCCGTCGCACGCTACTAAATCACCCGAAGATTACAAATCTAGACCCAGTGTAGCTAACAGTTGAATATCACATTCACTTAGCTTATTACTTGTTATTTTGGAGAATTATTTTTACCATATCTTTCTTGGCCTACATCAGAAACGGGGGTCGTTATGCTCGTGCGTACGCGCATATCAGCAGAAACGCCATGTCAGGAGGAGGTTGATCAAATTGAAAGGGGAAGAAGAGAATGCTGCAGCTATAATCAGATGGTTAGACGCAGATGCTCAACTTTTTTTCTTTCTTTCTTTCTTGTGACAAATGCCAATTACGAGGCGGTAGACCTTGGACTAACATTGTTACATCGGCATCCCGACGCCAGGTTTCTTCGTGTTGAAAATAGATAATGACAAAATGATACGAGCTAACGATAACCCCTCATAACTAGCTTGTTGAGTCACTGTATCGTACCTTCCATTTGAAATCCTGTTTTCAATAATTACTGATGAATATTTTGAAGAATGTAATAGTAATGTTACCCTCAGAAATACAATTAAAACACATGGCAAATATGGCAAATATGTGAATATTTATGTCTCTTTGGGAAATAGAATACAGTGGAAAGTGCTCGTTATTAGAAACTGCCCATTTACTTATAATTTTCTTATCATCATTTGGTTTACCTCATTCGTACCGCGAGCCAATCTGATGTTTCCAAATTGTCTTATGTGCTATGCTGTCATAATAGTGCAAAAGTACATGTATCCAAAACAGATAATAATAATAATAATAATAATAATAATAATAATAATAATAACAACAACAACAATACTAATAATAATGATAATAATGGTTGTGGTTACTACATTACATTATCGTTGTTGTTATTGTTTTTATTTTCGTTTATGCATCTTGTCGACTGATACCACGATGCATTTGTAAGCTAACATAATAATTTAGATGTATTAATTTTCTTAAATTCTTTGTACAATACTCTTTAAACAAGTTTTGAAAAATATATTGACCACGAGACCCAAATACTCCATACCTTTTATCCAGCTCCTACCAACATATGAATCATAACAAAACATGATATAGTTCACATGTGCATGAAATCGTCAAGGTGTACCTATAACATCATTGAAGCGACCGTATATGCCTGTCAAACTACATCACTGCCCGTTGTGCTGCTTCGCAAAGGCACCGCCTCGCTCCACCACGTAGAACCAGTCCCCCGTGTACCTCTCCACGATTTCACACCGTTCTGTGTACACGTCGTGCCAAATTACCCATAGGAAAACACTGTCGTCATTACCGCTATTTAAAAACTTATTAGCTCAACCAAACCACCCTGTCTTTGTAAGCGTGGCTACTTAACCCGTCCCCCCATTCTCTTCTCCTTAATACGAGTCCTGCCACATCACAGGTAAAAGATTTGTTCAGGTGCGCGAGACACTCTCACCGCCAGCGTGAGATGCACGAGATTGGTGACGTCATCACCTTTAATGCTGCCACTTCCAATTGTTAGAGAAAATTCCGGTTTAATTGTGTGTCTTCTGTGGTCTTCATACGAGCTGGGTTTACTTAGGTTTCTATACTAAATCAACACGCGGTGTAAGACAGGGACGATTAGTGTTGTGGGTAAGACGGGGAGGGCAAACAGTCGAAAACGGGATCTGGTACAGATGACAAGCACGAGCTGCACGTGCACCCAGTGACACCTAGCGGCAGCCACAGAAGACAGGCCAGGTGTACATGTAACCCATTAGCAAGGATGTGCTGTAATTAGGCAAAGACACCATCAATGGGGACATAATCTTCTCGTCCTTTCAGCAAGAAGAAGTCCCTACTCACATATCTATATCACTCGCGTGTAACTTTGAAATGCTCTTTAATGGGGAAATAGCTACTTCTTATGTACCTGTGACTGAAGACGGGTAATCCCCATCTGAGTTCATAGTCGCTCAAAGTTGCAATATTTTGTCGTGTTGAGCTTCGATGAAGGGATGGAGCGTTGTGGAGATTTGGATGTTTTTGTATTCCTGAACCTTATCAAGACCAACTCTGTATCGCCATAGAAGTCACAATGGCATAAACGGCTGAAAATATGTACTAAATTCTATTGAGTGATTTTTGACTCTGTCCTTAAAGATATTGTTGATGAATAAGTTTGTTGGTATCTGGTTAGTTTTTGTGCCCACGACACCTTGTCACTCATAGTGTGCTCCGTGCTCAGTAATAAGTAGATTTTTATCATATAAACTTTACTTACATGGTCATTAATATTCTACAAAAACCGCCTTCTATGACCGCCTCCGTGGTCTAGAGGTAGAGCGTCCGCCGGGGAGCGGAAGGTCCGGAGTTCGACACCCGGCCGAGTGATACCAAGAGACGTTAAAAGATGGTACCCTGCCTGGCTCTCGACTAAAACACGGACTTTCCGGTTCGGAATCAGCATACTGTGTCTGAGTGGGTTATTAATGTTAAACTGCGACATGATATCGCAGTGGGCGAACACTATAAAATCGGCAAAAGTCGGCATTAGTCCGCACTAGATAGTACAAGCAGCCACTCACAGCCACACGTGCATGCATATCGCTTTATAAGGGCAATAATCTTTGAACCCGACGTTTGACCCCATTTCATCTTACCTCCAATAATAGTAACATTTAGACATTCTTTTAATCTTTAATATACGGATGAATATTGATTCCTATATATAGGGGCGGTCGGGGAGTCTAGTGGTTAAAGCGTTCACTTGTCACGTCGAAGACCCGGGTTCGATTCCCGACATGGGTACAATGTGTGAAGCCCATTTCTGGTATCCCCAGCTGTCATATTACTGGAATACTGCTAAAAGCGGCGTAAAATCAAACCTACTCACTCCTATATACAGTGTACACAAGCTAAACCAATTATATTATTATAATTGTATGAAGCATTCTTCAAAACATAATATAAACAATTAAACATTATATGAATAGATGACTGAAAATCAGTGGTGACACCAAGAGTTCGCGAGAAGTGTAAGCATGTCCTGTACTGTTTATACAATAGATGACATGTGTAATTTCGACCCTGACCAAACATTTAAAATGAATGCTCTTAATTTTGGTCGGGATAGAATTGTGTGTACTTAGCATGTAAATGCACTGTACAAGCTTTCGATCTGGTGTATGACAGATTTCTGTCTGTACATAATTGCATTGTAACATGCTGCCAGTGTTGAATATAATTGTATGGTGCATGGTTTATATCTTGTATATCACAGACTATGTGTCTATTTCAATTTATTGGATTATGGCTATTTTCAGGTGAAAGTATGGTTCCAGAACAGGCGGACGAAACACAAGCGTCTGACGGGGGACGACATCCCAGGGAGGGGGATGCCCTAACATATGGCGTCTTCATGCCAGGCATATCATCACAGAGCACAGGTACTCCGTCATACTCAGGGATTGTGAAGAAAACTTGTACAGATGGGCCAGGCCATGAACCATGTGTCGTATATGTATAGAAGAACACAAGACACGGGACGGAGGCAAACAAGAGACGCGTACATGCATGGACATTTAAATGTTGAAACAAATCAATTTATATTATGTTTCTAATTAAATAAATGAAATTAGTTGCGTTTAGATTTGATCACAATAAATTTACCATTATGGAATATTTTACTAACCTGATGTCGTGGTTTATGGGGGCACGGTGGCCCAGTCGTCCATGGCGCCGCGATTCGCTGTGCAGAGTTGCGTCCCTTGGGCACGCCAGAAACCTATGATTGTGGGTTCGAATCCCGGTTTGCCCCGATTATGTTTCTAGGTTTGTCAGCACCATACCCGTGCTCGTGGGTTTCACCGAAGTGGTAAACGTCTGAGACCTTCATCACTTCGGGCTTTCCTCCCACATTAAGCTGACACGCCGTGATATAACTGTAATACTGTTAAAAGCGGCGTTAAACCCAACTCACTCACTCGTGTTTTATGCATATGTGTGGCCTTGGCATGACAAATAGGAGGAGGGTGAGTTCTGTTTTTTGCGCAGTATTCTCACCATCGATGGACGGTGACACTAAGGATGGGCTTCACAAATAGTGCAATAAGGGCATATAAATGATACGGACGGTATATCAGACACTCACACTGAAAAAAACAAAAAAACACCGAAATGCCACGACTGACACACGAACAGCGTGAGCAGGCCCTGGTTATGGTACAGCTGAGAGCCACCCAGGCCCACATTGCTAAAACCTTTGGCTGCTCCCGTGTGGCTGTAAGGAACCTGATGCAACGTTACAGACAGACCGGGCAGACATCAGACAGGACAAAAAACAGGCAAGCTCAGGGTAACTATGCCCAATGAAGACTGGTACTGACGTACTTTGTATCTGCGGAACTTTCCTGACAGTGACATCATCGGCGACGAATGCCTTAGGGCACATGGTTAGTCGACAGACCGTTACTAAGGGCTCAAGGAATTACAGACCTTACAGAGGACAGTTATTGACAGCGAAACATCGTCGTCAGATGGAGATGTGCCCGGACTGTACGTCGTTGGCAGCGACGTGACTGGCAGAGGGTCGTCTTCATTGGTGGGGGTGGAGAGATCTGTCGGCAGGAGAGAACACCACTGGTCATCGTTAACGGAAATTTGACAGCTCAGCGTTACGTGGATGACATTCTTCGTCCGATTGTCCTACCATGTCTACAACAGCTGCCACGTGGTGTCCTTTACAACGCTAGACGCCATAAAGCCCGAATCGTACAGAACTTCCTTACATCCAACAACGTCTGCGCCTGCGCGCTCCCCCATAGAACACTTCTTGGATGTCGTGCATCCTCCAGCCAACCGACAAGAACTGATCCAGGTCCTCCAAGAAGAATGGCTACGTATCTCGCGTGACATCATCAGACGATTGACTTTTTCTATGCGCCGGAGTTTGTTTGCGTGTCTTGTAGCAGCGGGTTGTCATACACGCTATCAATGTGACTTGTTATTGAACTTGAGCTATTTTAGATGTGTGTGCCCTTTGTTCATTACTTAAGTACCCACCTCAATTCGGACAACTGCCATGCCAAGATCGGGTGCTGTAAGACTGGCATTTTAAATGTTGATTTCGTTGAGATGTAGATCTTTTCAACACACGTTACTTCATGCATCTATCTTTTGTGGTCTTTAAACTTGAGTGATTTGTGGGGGCACGGGTGGCCCAGTCGTCTAAGGCGCCGCGATTCGCTGTGCAGAGTTGCGTCCCTTGGGTACGCCAGAAACCTATGATTGTGGGTTCGAATCCCGGTTCACCCCGATTATGTTTCTAGGTTTGTCAGCACCATACCCGTGCTCGTGGGTTTCACCGAAGTGGTAAACGTCTGAGACCTGCATCACTTCGGGCTTTCCTCCCACATTAAGCTGACACGCCGTGATATAACTGGAATACTGTTAAAAGCGGCGTTAAACCCAACTCACTCACTCACTCACTCACCAGTGTGATTTGTAACTATGGTAAAGTTTCTTTTGGCCGTCTGTTTATTCAAACACTGGTATCTATACCACATATGCTAAGATTTTACTTAGATACAGTTTTGAAGCTCCATGTAATTGATATTCTTTTTTTAACAATGTATCTCCTTCTCAGCCACATTTATCTATTGCCAAACACAAACCACTTTATCACATCTAAAATATACAGGCATGGAAATTTAAAAATACGAATGAAATATTTTGTTAACAGTAGTGACTGAATGTTGTTTTAGTCAACAATGTTCCAGCTGTCACACCGGCCTGTAGATATTCGAGCTCCGAACCAGTGGTTGATAGCATGAACACCGATCCACGCCGTCAGGTTAAGGTATATCAGCCTGGACCCACATACACAGAGCGATCATAGCACTACGGCTGTCGTAAATCCATGTTAAAGTATAGGAGTTACGATAATCGTAACGCTAAGATCGCTTTGTGGAAGTAGTCCCTGGTTGACATTATAACACCTAATCCTAGTAAGACGATTCGTACTCCATGAACGATATACTGGATACCGTCTCTATCCTGGAATATCCACGGAGTTATAGAGGATAGAATGGCCTACTTATCTTGGAGATGCGTTTCCTCCACAGGAAGGAAACGGGCTTATTTACACACCTTCGCACCCTGAAGAAGGAAAGATACGAACCTGAAATCGATATTTGTGTCACATTTGCAGTTCAAGTATATTTTAATTCTTTTTTCCGTAAATCAACACCCCATTCTTGTACCGTTCTTCCTTGAAGTTCAACATTATTTTATAACACAAACTATATTGTTTACTTAGGGAAAGTGTCAGGGAACATTTGACAATGGTGAAAAAACATCCATCTCTTCCGGCGTTTGCGGAATTCACGTGTTAGGGCATCCGTTAAGATCCGGGGTAGAATAGGTCTTCAGCAACCCATGCTTGCCGTAAAAGGCGACTATGCTTGTCGTAAGAGGCGACTAACGGGATCGGGTGGTCAGACTTGGTTGATGCATGTCATCGATCCCAATTGCGTGGATCGATGCTCATGATATCAATCACTAGATTGTCTGGCCCAGACTCGATTATTTACAGACCGCCGTCATATAGCTGGAATATTGCTGAGTGCGGCGTTAAACAACAAACAAACAAACATGAGTTACGGCATACACCAGTTACTGGAAGGCAGGTTCATGGCGGTTAGACCACAACCTTTCACTGTTTCACCACTCTCGATTTCCAGCTGTTTGTTTGTCATGCATCATATGCCAGAAACGCAAAGACAAAACACCAACGATTAAAGATTTACCGATTGGGATAAGCTCTATATTGGTCGAGGATCCTGATTCCCCGCATCGTATCGGCATTGATCCCATGACACTTCATCTCACCAAACACGTGCACCATCTTCCCAAACTCCGAGTTGGTATACTCTGCAACTTGATAGTTTACTTTGACCCACAGTCTTAACTCAGATCAATTTGGAACATGCCACGGCTGAAAGTGCACGATTTATCAAGCGATGTGGATAGGGTTACTTCTGTCAACAAGGAAAGTGTCCGCGATGGGGTAATCGGAATTATGCCAACAAACAGACACTTGACTCCAGGCCCAAATACACCGGGACACCGAAGGCATGCGTCAGAGAGATTCAGCAAACATCGACAGCAGCAGGAGAGCCACAGACCGTACACGTCTCTGTTATGCACGTTTCTCCCACAATTTGATCTGCCAATAGCAACAAGATATGGGGTGTGACTACCCAAGCCGCCCCACCCCACGTAATACTGTAATACCTTATTGCTTAAGAAACGGCTGGAATGAGGGGGTCAATAGAAGGTGTCGCTACGCCTTTAATCCAACACTTTATCTCTTCTTATCTGATATAACTCTGTACAACCCTCATGGATGACTAAGGACTACGATCTTCACCCTTCTCTTTGCTTGTTCACTAATCTCATGTGATTTCTCCCGTCTACCTAGACTGTAGGTTTGTTACTAAACGTGGTTCAGAGGTTCAAGACAATGTAACAAAAACTAAATCAGATATCGTCAGACGTTTACTGTGAGTGAGTTAGTAATACTATGGTTTTACGCCGCTTTTAGCAATATTCCAGCAATATCACGGCGGGGGACACCAGAAATGGGCTTCACATATTATACCCATGTCGGGAATCGAACCCGGGTCTTCGGCGTGACGAGCGAACGCTTTAACCACTAGGCTACCCGACCGACTCCAGACGTTTAAATATGTGAAATTCATGTGGAATGTGGGGATTGAACTTTTAGGCAAGCTGTAAGCATCCCCCTGGACCCCAAATCCGCTGCTCTCTTTGCGGATCTGTTTCTTTTATGTATCCGAGTTTGAATTTGTTCTCGGATTGGCAAAATCGAAACGAGGCAGTTTGGCAAAGGCATTTAATTTAAACTTCAGTTATTTCGATGATCTTATATCCTTCAATATTGGTCAAATAGCCAATTCCCTTCCACTGATTTACCCACCTGAGCTAGAACAATTGGAGGCCGGTGATGACGCCTGATTTGTTTAATATTTAGACCTTTGCATAAAGATTCAAAGTGGTAAACAATTCCACAGAACTGTATGACACGAGGGATGACTTCAACCTTCCAATAGTCATCTTTCCTTTTATGTCAAGCAATATTGCAGCAGCTCAGGCCTTTGGCGTTTACATTCCACAAATTTGAGGTACAAGCGAGCGACGATTTCAAAGAGCGTTATACGACTCATTTCATGCTCAAAGGATCAGGGTTAGAACAATGACCACCACAGCAAAAATAATATTAAATGGTGGACATATGGAAGACATTTCCAAATTTGAAGCGGCAGTGACCAAAAGGATGTCAGAAGCAATTCCCTTTTTTGACTTGTACCATAATGTTCCCTTGGATTTTTAGGTGAAACATTTACTTGCCTTTGCATATGATTGTGTGACGGGTAGATGGGGCAGGCTATGCTCACCTTTTCGCGAACACTTGTATCATCACTCTTTGAGATAAACATAAACACATGCTCATGTTATAGGCGGACTGTACTTTCAGCAGAGATTTCTATGATTATA